TGGTCTTCTGTGGGGCCGCCATGAGTGCCTAGAGATAGCTCATCATCGAAGGAAGGCCAAAAGCCTCCCCTTATCATCACAAAGCCAACATCCAGTGAAGTACGCCTCTCCGAGGGTCGTTGTAAGCCGGCCGCTGCCACCATTCACCTCTACTCCGTTGCTTGTAGGTGGAACCAAAATTCTGAGCATTTTCCTGTGATTTGTTCACCAGTTGAATTCTGCACTCGGAAAGTTCTCGGAATCAGCCGAAAAAGTATAACTTTACAAACGTCTTACTTTCTTTCCCCTGGGAATAAACTTTATGCATATGCTGAGATAAATTCGGGCGTCAACAGCCTGTTCCGAATGTTTCCATTGTCTTTTTTCTATCAATGAACTTCTTCTTACCAGACCGTCCAACCTTCCTTGGGTAGTGAAATATTAGCATGCAAAGAAGTAGACAGTTGACCCTTGTACAAAAGAAACAGCATTGAATGGCTGATATCTTTTGTCTGGGACAAAAGCGTTATTTAAGGTACTAACAATTGAATGATACAATAGTTGTATCATTGCTTACGGTAACAGAAGCTTGAAACTATCGTAGCTTTCTTTTGAAGTGCTAGAGAAGATGGGGGAACTTTGACATCAGCAATGTCCACCTTTCTTGTGACTATACCAAACTGCACAGGCGTATTGGATTCAAATTCCAGAAGTTACCCTATTCGCGAGATGAAGCAACATCAGCCGTGAAGTAATCTTCACATCACACGTCAATGATAAGATGTTAGGCACCTCTAGTCTACGTCAATGATAAGATGTTCCAGCTTCGAGTGGTAAGCGAATTTGAAGTTTCAGATTGGTTCGGCACCCGTCGCAATTGAGAGCTGAGCAGTCAGGTCTAGACGAGGTAGGCGACTTTTTACGACATGTAACCTTCTAGTCTATTTTTGCTGAACTAGCTCGGAGGGCTTTGCTCCATCGCCTGAGCTGTCTTATCCAGCAGCCAAGCAATTCTCGTGACTCCCCACTTCCGGAGCTGTCGCACCGGTGAAACGGCCACAACCTGGCGTCGCTCCGTCGACATGCTTTCAGGTACGCTGGCATCAGGATTTGCCCGAGACATCTGTAAACCTCTGACAGAAGAAGAGAGCGACCGATCTTGCAACTGAATCAACGAGAAAAAGGCTTAGAAGGGAAGAACCTTTCTGATATGAGATGGAGATATCAACCCAAGCCAAAACGGTTGTAACTGACGATAATCCTCGAACTGTAAGAAACAGATTCGATGGTCAGTCCGGTTTCTATTCCTGAAAGAAACAAATGATATGGGACCGATGATCTAGCTGCCGTTCTGGGCAGTCTCGGCAAAGCCAGATGTTAAAATTCTTCCCAGTTTCGGATCTCTGGTACACCTATGAAACAAACTACGGAAGTGCACGAAAAGCAGATGACGCCAAGCCACCCCCATAACTGCGAAATGTACGGGATAGTACTGGTCTGAGCAATCAGTCCAAGGGGAGAAGAATCGAGCTGCCCGCATCTTCCCATTGAGCCGAGGCGGTCGAGACAAAACTGCTCCTTTACTGCAGAGGCGAATTTTGTACGAGAGTGGAGATTCTTTTGTTGTGGAAATGAGAAAGGCATGGTCGTGCTTAGCGTAGTATCGGGTTGTAGAGTATGGCCGAGATCTCCCTTCGTTCTTGAGTGCAGCTTTTGTGTTTCCGAAGCAGAGCATACCATATTGCACAACATGAAAAGTATGGCTGGAGCTAGCGGGTGAATACCAAAGGTCCTGCTGCAAAAGAATATCTTTTTCTTTCTCTTTGACCTGCTTCGTTATGAATACATTCTCTCTCTATGATTGAAAGCCACCTCTATTATTGATGAGCCTCACCTCAGGCACGAGAAGCTCATCATCATGTTCACTTGCCTCCGATCCAGCTCCCACCTTCCCCTCCTTCCAGAAACCAACATGTCTTAAGGATCATACGTTCTGTTATGGATTGATTGGTCACGATCAGCTGGATCATACATTTCTGACTGTAGAGCTTTACCCTTTCCAACTGCAGCAGGCGTTCATGACACTCACCTCCTTCCCTCCACCCTTTCTTTCAGAGGATGCAGGTGAACGAACCTTTTCTTTAGATTCTGGATACAAGCATCAAAACATTCAATTCTGTACCGTAGTCTGTGAAGTTGCCATATGAGAGAGAGAGAGAGAGAGAGAGAGAGAGAGAGAGAGAGAGAGAGAGAGAGAGAGAGATGCATTGGGTGTCGATGCCCCTTGGAGCCGCCCAGAGACTGCCAGCCAGCTCGGGAGGAAGGTGTCGAGAGAGATTATATACAGAGCGCAGGGAGGCTTGAATGTGCGTAGCTATGAGGCTGCTGCGTCCAGGGCCGAGGAGCTTCAGGTAGGTTGGAGATTCTGTGCAGAGTGAGTGACTGACACTCACGCAGTCACAAGCTCCCAAAAAGGTTAGTAGCCTTCAACGCAAAGGAAGCGGAGTTGGAATGAAGGTCAGGTCGTTGGGTCGGAACGACAAAGGCTCAACAGAAGGGAAAGACAAACGCCTCCAGGTTTTCCACGGGAAAACCGACAGCTTGGACGCATGCATCACTCGGAGTTATGATCGAGCAGTGGCACCGGGCTGCGGGAACAATTAGGTGTGTGTGTAAGCCCAGCCCCGTCCAATCCAATGTAGTCCAGATCTGCAAGCTCAGTCTGCAAGTGTGTCAGCTGCGAGGAGGTGGTTGAAGCAAGATTCTCGATGCAAAAGCCCGGCGAGCGAGCACCACACAATCCACTCACTACTCATGCCTTGGATTTCCCGGCGGTTCTGATAGGGAGGTGGCTCGGAATGTTCTTCTGTGTCCGTTGCAGGTGGCGGTTAGGTTCGGTTTTAAGCGAGATCAGAATCTATTTCCCCAACACCTGCAGTCGCGGAACATCTGGGAATCGGGAGGGGACGTGTTCTCCTCGTTGTGCATAGAAACTGAACTTGCGCCTGAACTATTTGACTAGATAGATTGAATATATATATATATATATATATATATATATACACTTATTTGTTTACATGCATGTACATAAAAGGATGGAGCGGCTGAACCTGGTGTTTACAGCGCTTACTACACCTTCGGTGTGTAAGATCCACGTCTCCAGGATTCCATACCTGGCATTGCCATCTTCGCGTCTATAGCGAATTGCATCTTACGTAGACCAGGGTTCCACGTACGGTATCCTTCGTCGGCCTTTCCAAAACGTACGAATAAATACGTCGGACGGCAATTTGTTCATTAAGATTCATCATGCTGGATGGCCGAGAAATTTTCTAACCGCATAGCTGGCTAGTCGCAACTTCGTATCGAATTTGTGATTCAGTAGTTATTTAGTAACCGAATCGCCATCAAGTGTAATCATAAGTTACTATACAGCTCCGAAATATACATAGATTGTCATATAATTCATGTTTGCCAAAAGACAGTGTAAGCATCCATGAACCAAAACTGAATTGACATGCTACGTCTCGCGTTGTTATTGGACTACACACACACAAACATGTGACATGGATTTTAAATTGAAGATGAAGAGATCAGAATCATAATGAAGAAATTAGCTGGGTACACCGAACTCTACGAGTGGTCCCTTACTGGCGGAATTTTTTTTACATTAAAAGTAAGATTTTGCCACAACACACTAATATTATAATTTACAAAAGCAGCCTGAAGCGTACAAAATCCGAGATAAAACCTTCTTTGGTAATAATCCAAAGTGACGATAGTTTGGCGCCGTTATTCTTGTTCTTTGAATGACACAATGTACCAGTCACACCCGTAAATTCGTGTAAAGCAGGTAGGCGAGCCTCGGTAGAATACGTGTGCGCATACGAGTTCAAATTCTTATTGGGAGGCACTCTGGGGATACGGGAGAGTGCGACGACCTTGGGTTTACGAAATGGGCTTGAGACGGCGAGCGTAATGACAAGACCCGGATGAGATCGAGCAAGAGTTGAGTCACTCACGATCCGTCGTTCCTATTTTGTTTGGTTCTTCAGGTTCACTGTGGATTTCGCTGTTGTTCCATTCACTTTCGATCTGAAACTAATATTTTTGGCAGTCGTCTGTAAATCCCTTTTTTCATCAGCGATGAATTTTCGATGAAACTTTTAACGAGTGTTTGGTCGAGCCCACAGAGTTGCAATCTTCAGTGCCCAACCTAGCCCTCCGTACTACGAACTTGCCGCGAATGCCGAGATACATTCCATACGATAACGGAACGTATACACATACGTATGGTATACGATACTCTCGGGGAAAACGCTCGTCCTTCTTACGGGGATGTGAAGTCACTGGAAATCCACTCAGAGCGTTCACTCATGGCTCGTAGTGCTTCGGATGACGAGACATAGATTGAAATAGATAGAAATAAATAGCAGAAGGCATCACGTGCCATGAAGACGAACATCCATTCTGGCACAACAGCCGAGTGTCCATCGTGTAAGAGCATAACAGAGAGAGAGAGAAATCATTGGGCAGCTCTGAGAATTTTACGAGCGTGGACTTGGGGTTCGGCAGCAACTTCTGTTTCATTTGCAGGCATGCTTGCGGACGAAACACAATCGCATTCTATGGTATGCAAGATTCGCAGCTCCAGCGGGCGCCTGCGGGCGAGCGAGCTGTCGGTCGGGTTGGATAACAAGGTCCTGGAAGGTCCAGTCCAGCATCGGCCCACCCTTCTCGTCTCGGAGTCTCAGGCGCCTCGGCCCCGAAGGTCGATGCGGGATGCAGTTCCACATTATTGGCTCCGAGACTGTGAAATGTATGCTGCGGCCATGTCACAGCTGGAAAGCTGCAGATCCTTTTCCCCGACGGTACGTGTGGAGAGGATTGCTCCTCTCGTGCCCCGGTATTCTCACCGACGCAAGCGCAGCGCGTCTCCATTATCGAGAATTATCGGTTCTGCCTCGGGTCCACGCATTTGTCCGTCCTGAGCTCCGCAAACGGGCATCGATCGATCTTCGTCGGGCACTTTCGGGTTCGTGCGGGTCGTGGGGTCGGATCTGACATCGGGCATGGGAGGGAGTGGAAGTCGAAGAATCGGGCTAGGCATGGCGGGAGCACCTGGGCGAGGAGCCTCGGCCGCCGTAGAAGAAATTGGCACCCCAGTCCGGAATCTCGTGGCTGATGAGGGCGCTGTAGCAGGAGGGGGCCTCGGCGGGGCCTAATCGGATGCGCGCATCGTGCAGTCGCAGGTGCTCGTCGACGTATTGAATGTTGCGCTGGTACGCTGCGAGCTTATGGCCCGCCTGAGGCTCGAAGCCGCTGCCCATCTGCGTTCGCGTGTGACGATGCCCGCCCGTGCTCTCGTCGTCCGTAATCTCTCCGCCGAACTCCATGTACGTCGCCGAGTCGCGCAGCTGGCTCGTGAACAGCTCCGACGGCCAGTAGCCCACCGGCTCGTCGTTCAGCAGCAACCACCAGTTGCCGCTCGACTTGTCCTGCTCATTCATCAATCATTCGTGCATCCCCCCATCCCCAACACATTATAATTATAATGAGCCTTGGACCACTTCTCTCGGTGGATTCGTGCGGCCAGGCCCACATGCACCTTTAACAGAAGAGAGAGAGAGAGAGAGAGATGGCTTTACTCGGTGGACCTAAAGCTGTTGCTTCGCCTGCTGCCTCCGCTCGTCACTCGTTCTTATCGAAAAGCCACCGAGAGAGAGAGAGAAGAACTGAGAGGGAGAGGGAGAGGGAGGGAGGGAGGGAGGGAGAGAGAGAGAGAAAGAAATGCACATGCGAAAATCATGATGATAATGGATGGATAGATAAAGGAAGGGGTCGATTGCGCGCACACACTGATCCACCTGCAGCGCGTCGTCAGGTGGAAAAGAGAGAATGCGATGGTCGTCGCTAGGCTCGGCCCACGGCTATGATTCGAGCCTACGTCGTCCGAGCACATGCATGGCAATGTCGAGTCTCGGAGGGGAAATGCGGAATCACTTAAAACAATGGGAGGGAAAGGCGAAAAACGCTGAGGTGCACGTGTGAATCAGATGCTGGCGAGAAAAGAGAGATTGAGGTCTCTTCGGCTCCAGAGTCCAGCAGTGCCGGAGAGGTAAGAGATTGTATGCAGCCCAGCACCTAAAACCGCTTAATCTTTATGGCTGTCCGCATGTCTGACAAAGAGAAAGATGAAAGCAGCAGCTGCAGCGAAGGGTCACTCACCCTGAAGACAAGAAGGTCGATCTCGTACTGAGTGGAGTTCAGTTGAGACATGGGAGTGAAGGAGCCGCCCACCAGCACTTTGTTGCTCACTTGGACGAAGCCATCACAGTACAAGTTGTAGCATCCGGTATCGTTGTAAGCATCGGCCTGTCGTCCACGTTCAGATCAAAAGCGTCCAGTCCGTCAGTCCGAATGTCCGTCGAGCAGCTGTAACTCACATCCGACTAGCGAACTCTTTCGTCCATAAATGAGGAAAGCGACCAAGCTCAATCACGAGAGCGAAGTCTCTCCATGGCTGTGAAGTCTTGCGTTGTAGGGAGGGAGACACAGATTTCTGATTCTCTAGAGACACGACATCAATTCGACGTCGAGCTCATCAATAATCACCTACTGCAAATGACTTGGGAGAGCAAGCCCCACCGAGTCACTCACTCACTCATCGGCATGATGAACTACGGGCACATTAAGCTACGGCAGCTTGCTGGTCCCAGTGCCCTACATTTACGTATGGGCGATGGTTTTCAACACCTTGGTCCTGAAACTACACAAGCGTGGTTCTTTACATGCGCCCACAAGACAGCCTGACTGCATGTGGCTTGCGTCAGCCTCACGAACGAGGATCAATGTTTTTCACATTACTTGGACACGATATGACACGAAACGACGGGCCCACTCTCACTGTCAACTCCTGCAGAGCTCCGAGCTAACAATATTACAGCCAGAAGACGGACTGCACTCAAATCACCATATCGACCATAAATCAATCCCAGGTCCCAGGCCCCCACACAGACAGAGAGAGAGAGAGAGAGAGAGAGAGAGAGAGTTCACGCGGATGCGAGTTGATACCTATCCTACAAGTATGTGGTACTTACTGTCCAGAAGAGAAACAGCCGGGACCGATTATCGCCATACAGGCCTTCAAATACCTGCACAAGACCGTCCCAGGTTACATCATTGCCCTTATCATTTAGCAGCAAAATCTCATACCAAACTACATTCTGCATCCAACCGTTTTATTACTGGCCCATTCATCACTGACTCGCAAGTACAAGCTACGAGATGAGGGCCTAGGGTCCACTCCCTTCGGGAGTCCATATGGACGGAGGGCGAGACAAAGAGAGAGAGAGAGAGAGAGAGAGAGAGAGAGAGAGAGATGAAGCCAGACCAGCCAGCCCTTGCTGCTGCTGTACGAGAACTCAGATCCCGCAGTGGAGAATGCATAAAGTCACATGATGAATATCGGATGATTGAATCCGAACTCAACGACATGCGAATTCCAATGTTGCTTTGTATAGTCACAAGCACTGCACGTGAACTCCTTCAAATACGCTTCATGAAGCGTAGCTGAAAGAGCCAATGATTGAAGCCAATGCCGGGCGGGCGTTCGGCGTTATATCGATCGATCTCTTAAGAGATCTCGTCCCGCATTGTGTAGTGTTATTACTACTTCACAATGCGGAAGCCAGCCTCGCTGATGAATGCCGACCAGCTAGTGGATGCGAGTGGACATCTGATCCTTCACACATCCGAGCTTTTATCACCAAATGTACGATCGAACCTGGACAGCCATGTGCCTGCGTCGAGCATTTCAGGGACCAGGCACAGGAGCGTCAAAGTTCGCCACCGTGAGGAAGACAACCTGACAGAGACCTAGCTAGACTCCCCCATCCATTCTGCCTCTCGTACGAGAAGACAGAAATCGGGCCGTGCCACACTCGAGACTCAGATGTGGACCCAGCCAGCGGACCCACGAAGACCAAGCGATCTCCGGCATCGAGTTAGAGAATTTCCAAAAGACTCCGAAAGTGAGTCATAAAGCACATGCGTCCGAAGGCCAGACAAGAATCAGAAAGCTCAGCAGAAGCACTCTGAGCGCTAGCTAGCAGTGGACTCCAGGTGTAGCATCCATTCGGAAAGCTCCACATATCCAGGCTTTGCTGATTCGAAGCCTTTACTTTCGAATCTGTCGACACCAAATTCCGTCCAAGGCTCTCTCAGTGCGCGAAAGCTAAGTTCTGGTGGAAGCAATCGGCAATCAGAAAGGTAATTGTGGAAAATCTTCAAAGTCAGTGATGCCTGCGTACCTGCCATCCGGCCTCTATGGTGTTGAGAATGGAGCTGTATTTGCCCACCGGGGCATTTTGGCCCTTGTACGAACCACTGATCAGCCAAAATTGAGCCAAACTGAATTCGTCCTCGTTCTCCACGTAGGGCTCCCATATGTTCAGAACCACCTCCATGCCCTTGATGGTCTCGGTGCCGTTGACGATCACGAAGGCATGCTGCAGGTTGGATCATAGACATGAACAGATTGGAAAATACTGAATTCAGTCGTTCGCTCCAAGGTTGGGAGCGGGCAACATCCATGGGGCATACAACGCACCGACGTCAAAACCAAACTGCGCTGGGAGAATTGGACCCTGAGGAAAATGCACGTGCAGTCATGAGTCCGTTATTGTACCTCATGAGGAGTTGAGTCCGAGTCATTAGATTCAGTGTAGTTGCCATCAGAAGGTCGAGTAAAGCTCGGAGGTGCGTGCTTGCGTATTCTTGGGTTCGAGTTTCTCCGAGTCGATGCGTTGTCCTGATCGGAAAAGTGCCTCTCGAACTGCGTCTCGAAGAAGAAATCGGTCAGGTTGTAAATGTCCCTTGATCTCCGAACCGGAATTGTGCCATCGGGACACGACCCGACTTCTACTTGGAATGTCTGATTGGCAATCTTGGCACCTCTGCTGGAAGCTGTCGAGTGCCGTCGCTTCACTGATGATGAGGGGCTGAGCTGAAACGTTAGGGAAACGAGCCACGGGAATGTGAGAATGGGCTTCACTTTATTCCATAATTCTTGTACCTGACCAGACATTATAAAGTGGAATCCCACTTCCCCACCTGCCGAGTACATGCATACACCTCCTAAACCGAGATTTCTCATTTGCCTTTGATCACAAGGTTTACCTTAATCCAGCTTGCTTTAACCGCAATTTTGAAGATAGAGTCAGACAGGGACGCTGCGTTTAAGCTAAATTGAAGATCCGAAAATCCTCAGAGGTCCAAAAGTCCAACGCTGATAGAAAGTTTTATGGAAGCTTTAACTGAATTTCATAAACTCTGACAACTGACAACAGCCCCGCGTGCTTACTTCATACTCTAGACCTCGGCTTGTGCATCTCGTACCTGTAATGGAACAGTTCGCCCAGCAGTCATGCGCTTGGTCAGAGACGGCTGCCTTTTGATAGGAACGCAGGAAACCTGATCACCGTCCGAGAGCTGTCATTGAAAAAGGTCAGTTGATGGAGACACTGTTGGGATTGAATTCTGCATTGGCCTGACGACGATTGTATCTGTAACTTGACACTGGAAATCAAAATTCTTAAATATGCGAGAATTCTCAACACGTGGTGAATTTTAGATGAATCTGCACCTGAAAGAGTCCACTCTCATGTTCACATATGAGTAATTTGAATTCGATGCGAAAGGCAACTTACTGTGAAATTTAGCCCTCCGTCCTTCCCATCTGTGGAATCCATCTGGTCGGCAACATTTTCTGATGACTTGGATCTGGCTCTAAATGTCTTCTGTGCGTCAGCAGCTGCTGTTGCGAATTCCCGTGCAGCTTCAGCTGCGGAGTGATGAGCTACATGGTGGAAGAGCAATCCGAAGACGAAGACTTGCAACACCACTCCCCCCTGCAGCAACAGCCTGGGAGATTTCGCATGCCTAGGCCTGCAACTGACTCCCATCTTCAGGAGTGTATGTCCTATGGTGTATGCAGATGTTTTGGACGCCGATGGATGCAGATAAATGGATAGATGGATAATTAGATAGCTAGCTAGCTACATCCAGCTGCAGCCAGCCACTTTGAATTCTGAACATGAACCGAGAACCTGTAGTTCGGAAGACAATGAGTCGGACAAAGTTTTCCCCAACGACGTTATGATGGAGCTAGCTCGAGCTCGAGCGCAAGGTCCTTGCGCACTGGGACCCGGCTGCGTTGGACTCGGGCTCACCTGGGGATGAATGAATGAATGAATGAATGAATGACTGCTGCGTGTGACAGGGATTCGCAGCCGAGCTGACAGCTACGTAGATTATGGGAAGGATCAACTGGAGTATCTCCACAAGTCCAGCAAGACACGATAAAAGAGCACACTCGCCTGAAGGAGTAGTAGTAGCAGTAGAAGAAGGCGAGTACTACTAGTCAAGCTTATCTACATTAATGATTATGGTCAGAGATAATTCGTAGATTCGGACGAACATGAGCACCGGACGAGGAGAGCTGTGGCTACGCTAGGCTAGAGAAGAGCATCCTAGCCCAGGTCTATTATAAGCTACTAGTGAGTCGAATAAGGGCAAAGATGTCATCGATCATCTGAGCCTTTCTTGATGTATGAGCTCGCTCGCTGTTAAAAGTCTGTGAAAGGGTGCATCATTTATATGCTCGGTTCAGGCGTCGCAAGCAGAGCAGAGCAGCAACATAATCGAGTGGAATTAAAAGGTGAAAAGGGCGACGAGTCGGAGAAGGCGAAATGAGCAGCCAGCCAGCCAGCCACGAATGATTTTGTCGTGAAATGAGCCTCCACCACCGCCGCGGTTGCGGTCTTGCTCGATGCTGGCCATGGTTATAGCGACTGCAGTCCGGTTAGCGGAACCGATTACGTCACAGACCAATGCCATGACTTCGTTTGTAGCGCGCATTATGCTGAATCAAGGCTCTCTCTCAGGGGCATTCGAGCTCCTGATTGGCAAGGGCCGAGCGGTGCAAAGTTGGAAGTACCGTGGTACAGTACCGCGAGTGGCTGAGCATGATGCCAGCTCCGGATCCTGAGCTTGTCATCATCAGCAGTAACTTCATTTACGCCTACATAAACGTCAAGATCTGGTGATGAGATCCATGGGCGAGCAGTAGCTAGGAGCTTGAGGGCTGGGCCATCGCCTATATAATGGAAATTCGTCCCCCACCACCACCTGGTCCAGTCTGACTTCCGTCCAGGCTCACAGCGGACCAGAGCTTTCGACGGTACGAGTGCAGCGGCTGTCGCTGGATGGATATCGATAACTCCATGGTCCCCATCGTTCTCTTCTGAATTCCTTTGTCATTGGCTGGGATGACAGTTCTAGCCCGAAATTAACACCTTTAGAGGCTTATCAGTCGTCAGGCATGGCCTCAAAGATCTGGGAGAACGCCAGGTCTAGCTCGTAAACTTAGACACATGAATTTATACGAATGGTGCTTTCTAGAAACGCACCAAGGGTGGACCATAATCCGATTCAAGCTGTAATCAACACTTTATTTACCGGCGCACGGTTTGTCGAACTCCTGACGGTCCTAACAACATATTCCCCGGACTCGGCATCCCCATCCATACCGGCCCATGCTGAGCAGAAATTCTGCTTCATGAGCAACAGAAGGACTCAGCAAATTTTGTGGGCAATGAGTGGAGGGAACTCTATAAAATGATAATGGATTGACAGAAGTTTAAGGCTCTAGATTGTGGAATCTCAAGGATCTGGCCAGACAGCTCTTTTAGAGCTTTATAGACCTTCAAGTATTTTGACAGTAATTTAAAGTGGAGCCTTTCTAACTCGATCTGAACTTGAAGCTTTTGGCAAGCGCTAGCTCGATAGCTTCCGAATGATGACTGAACCAGTCCAGGTTCCAACTTGACACTCTGGTGGGAATGTACATGAAATGAGAATCATCCATTCAACGCAGCTATGCATGCTCTTGTTCACTTCCTTGGACATGGCATCAAATGCAACTGCCCTCGTCGTATCGAGTTGTGGCGCTCAACATGCAAGCTACAATGTAGACTTCTAAGACTTGAGCGTGTAGGGTGAAGCTCAATTCCAACAGAGGACATCACATGTGAAAGCTTGAAAGGCTCATAGTGAAAGCGTTCCGCGTGAAGATGAAGAGTATTTTTCAAGCATACTATGCGATGGAAAGCTAAGCTTTAGACTTTTATAAAGCGGAGGAAAGTTTGGGATTCCTTGGGAGCGCAAGCTGGTGTAGATCACATCTAGCGTTGTACAGAGTGTCACATCACATTCCAATTGTACCGGAAGAATATGATTGGAAAAGATTTATGTCAAGGAAAATATCACACAAAGTGAGTCATCATCCAGATCTTGCAGTATACAAGAGACAGAATTTGAGCGGGCTCTGCCGAACACCATAGTCCAGGTGCTGTCTAGAACTTTCATCATGAGTCACGTTGTCAGATATAACATAATTTGGCGACGATAAGTGAGCTAATGTGGTCTTGCTTTCTGAAAGAATGATGATGGACACCACGGTTCACAGCTAATCTCGTAGATTTGGGCATGGAGTCCGGAGTACTAGGTGTAATGAGGGCTCTATGATCAGACTCAAGTGCCCGAGCCATTAGTCAACCCATCTGGAAAGTTCGCCTTTAATGATGATTTGATGCACTGCATGTACTACCAGTGAACTTCAGTAACCTGGCATGTGCAAAGCATCAGGCACCTTCGTACCTTGCCTAAATTGGCTGCTCATTGTTACGGTGGGTTCTGAAGAAACGCTAATCCCCTGAAACCTGGACGAACGTTGCAAGGGAAAGGCCCATTATCTCCAAAAGGCAAACCTGGTTAAAAGGTTGAACCCTGACAAGGGCAACGGAGTGTATGACAGAGTCTGGACCCACAACGGGGTTTGGGTTGGTGAGGTGGTTCATACACTATACGTCACGTATTCATACGGCGACGCTGAACCACGTCGAGTCCAATGGATGCTTACTGCAGATAAGCCGAAGGCCGGGAGAAATATTGGATTCAAGCCATGTTCGAAAAGTCTCGTCTCCTTAGACGACATTCCATACACATTCTCTGCACAGATCGGCTCACATCAGGGACGCATGCAATGCAATCCAAAGCAATGCACCTCAATGCAATGGAGCGCAGCTCTGCAGCGCCATGGATGTATTTGTGCGTTATCCACCTAGCTCCCAGCTGGAAGCTAGGTGGATAGATTCTGATGGGAACGGGGCTGAGGGTCAGTTTTAGCGGCGCTTCTTCTTTCTGAGTAGCAGCTACCTCTGAGTGCTACAATACCTCATGCACCAGCTACACCTACTGTCATATCTAGATATACAGCATGAGACGGGAAGAGATGATTGTGTGTCAGAGCCGATTCTGCAACGAGTGGAGGCTAGCAATTGGTCGGCTCGAAAAATTCGATCTCGCCATCGAGCTTCAGTACATGTACAAGGCTCCTGGTGGTAGCTGTAGAGGAGGTATGTCTAGCAGTGCCTAGTCTGAGTAGTACCGTGGTAAGCAGTTTGGGCTTCGTAAGCTCCGCTTGCTGGTGGTGGTTCAGTCCGCACTACTCAGCAGGACTTTTGAGGTCATCTCATGCCATTTCACCTCAGCACGCGTACTTGCATCGTGGAGGACGGGTGACCATCACTCTGTCTCAACTCTGCTCTGCACTGCTCTATTCTGCTCTCATCTGTTGAGCCGTAGCTCAAGGCCCCACAAATGTCCTCACCTTAGCCTGGTTAAATCGGCAGCCATCCACTGTCTGAGCTTCTCTCGGAGTCAAGCTCGAATGAGCGTCAGAAGGCCCGGTCCCCTGTCCTTGTAGAAAAATCTTCAGAGAGTAGCAGGTGTGGACAGATGATGTCAAATCTCGGACCTTGGGTTGGGCTGAAAACGTGCGCTTCGTGCCACTGAGTTGTTCGGTAATCCCAGCGCATTTCAAATGTCAGCAGTCACGGAATGACTCACAAAACTGCAAATGCAACCCGAAGTCACCCCATTCATCCCCTTATCTCTCTCTCTCTCTCCCCCCTTCTTCAGTCGTGGCTACTGCACGAGAATATTCTCCAGAGGGAAGGCCTATGCTCTAGCCCAGGAGATTCTTGCTGCAAAGTCAAACATGGTGGAGTTGGGGGTACCGCAGTTCAAGAGGTGCCTCCACTTCTCTGGTCTGAGGCGATCGTGATCAGTAGCAGCACTCTTGTTTATCTAGGCTGAGTACATCATGCTGATGAATGAAAGTAAAGAGGAGGTATGGAACGGCTAAGTTTGACAAAGCGCATGAGCAAGTCTATAACAGCCGTGTCCAGCCACGGAGTCCGAGAGAAAAGTGGTAACAGTTTATATGGTTTTCTTGATTCGTGTGAGGCCCGGGCCAATGGAATTCATAAGCAAGTCCCCGAGGGAAAACAGCAAATCATCAGCGGCAGCTGGGCCCGGAATCTGAAGTTACAGATTGTCGAGTTTCGGTTTCATGAGCATTCCGAATTTCAATGAGTACATGGTATCCGTTACGCTAGTGCAGTACAGGTCCATTTCGCACGTTCGTTCGGCTGCCGTGGTCGCTTTTGTATCGAATCTCGGATCCAGAAAGATGGTCTGGAGAGCATGAAGGCATTTACGGAATATCCAGGCGTCGAGACGAGGTTGGCCGCTCTGAGACAGCATACCAGCTTCCTGAGAGCTATCATAGAGTCACGAATCGAAAGTTCCTCTCAGAGCCTCCAATCCTGTGGAGTGAAGCTCGCATTCTGGAATCATAATAAACAGTCCTCAAGCTAGAGTCGCTAGAATCCGGTCAGTGAGCTGTATTAGAGAAGCCTTCGAGTGCCGGACGGCTGTCAAACATTTGCACTTGGGTTCAGTCGTAAGAGAGCACCGGCCAGTAAGTAATTACGAGCCCTGTGAGTGTGGGAGTCCCTACCACTATCGAGTCCTAACCAGCAAACACAATTCCAATTCGGGAATAGTTCTCACTGATTTTCAGACTTGCTGCTGCTGCTTGGGAGCTGCTTGTGAGAAATCGGAATTATTGGAAACCAGGAAACGCTGTATTGCGGTTGCGTGCACGATCTCTCCAGAGCACATGCTCTGTTACATAAATAGAATGGAGACTTGATGATTTGCCTTTTAAGGTGTCGGAAGTAATCTTTTGAGCAACACTTTTCCATCAATATAAAGCACACACTGCTCAAGACGAGCTCGGGAACATAAGTCCGTGTCTGGTTCGCTAAGCCATCTCCTTCTAGACCTGCTTGCACATGGTTCGCACTCATGCTCGCGTGTAAAGCCTGGATCTTAAAGATCCACCATAGTTTTCCGTGCGCTTGGGCTAGCTACGAATTAGAGTGGTGCCATGGACGGGCTCCCGTGAGCACGTGCGACCTTCATAAAATCTGAACCAACTTCCGCCCCTGGAATCCAAGTAGCATTCCTCGAAATGTGCCAAATGCAACCTGCAACCTCCACCCCTCATCTCAAACCTCTAGGTGCTCGTCTCGCTAGATTCGATCTGATAAGATAGATTTGTCTAACTCGCAGGACCGACTTCCGTGATTGCTGCTTATTGGTCGAGCTTGGTGTCACCAGTCTCTTTTCACTGTTTTAAATCAGATCTTCGGCCTGAAATTAAACCAATTTCCCCAACC